AAAGCTACATGGTCCCCAACATGTGTAATTACAATACCACTAACTGGGCTTTCTTTTCCAAAAAAGGGCCCCGAAAGAGTTTTCGATACGGGGCCCACTCAGAACTAGCTCCGCCAGTGATAAGAATACTACAGAAGTATAGTTAATACTGACGATGTAAACCAATACATCTGTAACTGTAGAAAGTATTAAAGATCAGGACAAATTACAATGTAAGAAAAACTTTCCGCATTAATCAGATTTGTTTGAGAATTCACTCGAAGTAAAAGAGAATTAAAAGTAATAGAGAAACTTTCACAAAATGTATTCCTTCAAACTCTATAACGTGCTTTTTTTAAAAAATAATTTTAAAAAAATCAAATATGGTGCTACTTACCCGTTCGTTATCAGAGTGGCGGTCATTTTCTAGTATCCCATAGCCGCGAATTCCGTATCTACCTGGACTGAACGAGGCGGAAAAACTTTGAACGAAATTGAAGAGATGGCTATCATGCGTATCCAGCACGCTGGCAGGGTTGCCGCCGACCGATCATAAATATTCGCCAAGCGTGCCGCCAAGATCCGCTCTCTCACATCTCTTGGCGGGTTCTCATGTGATACGGGTTAAGAAGAGATTCTTAAGAATTTCAGTACAGAGAGAGAAATTTATTTCTGCACACAAAACGTCAGGGTTCTGTTAATTTTCTAAAAATGACTATTTTCAAAACTTAGCTCATCAGATAGATTTTAAGGGAGGAGGGAGTGTATAAAGATATATTAGTACAGACGAAATTTATGTATTTTTACTATTTCATTCATTCGATAGAATTTATATTTAGTTATAAAAATACTCGATAAGTGTGTAAATTTTCATTGTAAAATCCTGAAATTTTTTTCGAATGAAAATATCTGCGAGAGCGGTTTGATGACAAATAATGAAAGGATCAAATTCCTGGAAAGAGGTTTGAATAATGCATTCTTAATTTTACTTTATCACCGTTCTATAAGTTATTTTTATATATTTGTACCATTATATGAGAAAACTTGAATTATAAGATTCAGATTGATTGGTTAAAAATTAATGTTGCATTCTAAAGCAACCATCTGAACTATTGCCCAAAAGAGGAGGATGACAAGGCTTCCCACTCTCCAAACTTCCACACCACGCCCACGTAAGGACTTAAAGTCTCGTAGATTTAACGTAAAACAGTTCCTCTGCACAATAGGTCTTCAGTGGCACAAAGACTCGAACCTTTGATTCGACAACGCCGACCACGAGGTCGTGACCGTGACCACTCAGCAATTGCAACCACAGGATAATGTGCTGGAAAGTTTAACAAGAAAAACTTTTAGGAGTTAAAAGTAATATAAGTAGTAAACAGATTTGTCAGAAAATAAATAATCAATTTCTGAAAATAAACTCAGAAACGTATCAGCGTTCGTTCTCGTCACTTGAACCTGTGTGACCTATGTTCCCCTACAAATATTTTTTACTATAATATGTATTGTGGGACTGTGTGATAACTGTTTCTTATGAAAGCAGCTTATGATCATGACACTTTTCTGTGAACTATTGGCTTCATTTCAATATAGGAAATATTTTCAACTGCACTTCAGAAACCTGCTACTTGAAGACTTAGGCATCCAAACCCTGCCAACATCGATATATATTCTCTTTTTTCCCCTACTATTAGTTCACACTCTCCCTATATATATATATAACATTAATTTTTATCCACAATATCTTAATTTAATACAGACAAATAATAACAACAATGAAGCAAATTTTCTTGACATACATGTCAAATTATATGA